AAGTATATATATTTGCAAATGACTGCTAGTTTTCCAGTTGCTATAATGCGCGCAGCCGAGAAATGAGTTTCCAAATCAACGTCATCCGTGTGACGTCACGATCGAGAGACGCGTTTTTCACGTAGTTCCTTTATGTTTACGTTTAGAGTGCTTCATAAATATTATTACTAATGCATATAATTTAAAAATAAACATAGCTACACTTTATTAGGTTTAGCATGCGCATTTTGGGGGGTTCTCACAGGATTTATCTATATTTAGTAATATGAAGAAATCAACTGTATGGCTACTTTGTTGGTATAATGACATAAATTTATTAATTTACACTGCTTGCATCCATGCCTAGTGATTATATCAAGCATAACATAACAATCATATAGTATTCTTTTAATAATAATTGTTCATTATATTTCATTTTGAAATAAATGCGTTCTGCCGAATTAAGACTACTAAAACAAATAACGAGAGTGGCGACATCTAACGTATGAGCGCGACTCTAGGCAGACTATTTAATAATATTTATTTTTATATTACTATAAATAATATATTTACCCATTGCATAACATAACAATCATATAGTATTCTTCTAATAATAATTGTTTATTATATTTTATTTTGAAATAAATGCGTGCTGCCGAATTAAAACTACTAAAACAAATAACGAGAGTGGCGACATCTAACGCATGAGCGAGACTCAAGGCAGACTAACAAAAAAACAGTATCTGTTATAGATAACTGTCAGCAGTGGTGAATATGGATTAGAAGTCGCATTTGTAGAACGCTGCGTGCTGGGTGCGTCCTACACAATCAGTGCTGTAGTAGACGACGTGCCGTGGCTTTCCTATGATATCTGCCAGGCTGCCGTGTAGTCCTGTATTAGGCACGCTGCACCAAAATCAGAAATGTGTCGGCAGCAACGTATTCTAAACCAAAAAAAATATATTAAAAGCAAACAAGAAATTATTATCCTTGATATGCTGTATTTTTATACGTATAAAATTTGCGGTAAATTTAAGGTTGTCCGCCATCTTTCTTCCAACAAATGTACAGTATGCAACTAGATGAATTAACTCGACATTTTGTGGATCAGTCATTTCATAGTCTAGACGATACGCTGCAAACAAGCACAATATGACAAATGTCTATGTCATGAGCTCCTGTCGTGAAGATTGCGATAAGCAGCGGATACTTCATAATATCGAATAATGTTTATAAATAGGCGCAATGATATGTTTGTTTGAGAAAAAAAAGAGAAATAAAATTCAGGAAAAAGATGCAATATATAGGTTTAGGATAATAAGAAATGCAAACAGAGAGGCAGAAAGAGAGAGAGAGAGGGGGGAGAGGGAGAGAGAGTGGCAAATGATCAGGAGTAGAGGCAGGAAGAGGGAGAAGCCAATACGACGAAAAATGACCTGGATAGAAAATATAGAAGAAAGAGGGATTTATATAAAAGATGAGTATAGACATACAATTAATTGTTAGCATTAAATATTGCAAAAATAAAAAAGCCAAGGAAGGGGTCGTGCAAACCTGAAGGAAGCGATAGAAGAGGGATAGTGTATGTGTGTGTGCGTGTGTGTGTGTGCGTGTGTGTGTGTGTGTGTGTGTG